TAAATGTTTAAGTTTTGGACATACGTCTTATTCGTGTGATATGAAATATAGATGCATTAAATGCACAAAAGCATATTCTCCTGGCTGCTGCCAAAATTATCAGAAGAAAAGCCCCAATGCGTTAACTGTAAAGACTATCACCCAGCAAACTATTCAAAGTGTACATCCTTACTGAATTACAAGGCTAAAATCAACAGATTCATGCAGCCATTGAACCTAAACCTATGACAAGAAGCTATTCTGAAACGCTGAAGCCGAGAGATGCCAGACACACTGTCCAGATGGAACTACCAAAATTCCAAGCTATTCCTGAACAAAGAAGTATACCATCAACTTCATCGAATCAAGATCCTGATTTTAACTCCACCGAGGGCATTTTTGCTGCAATAAGACAAATCAAGTTGCTTTTTTCAGATCCTGAGGTAATAAAAATTTTCAGGGAACTTTATGCACTTACAAAGACTATAAATACTAACATGACATACAATGAAAAATATACTACAATTTTAAACTTTCTTACTAAAATGCCCATAATTGACAAGTATGGTATAAAAATAATGTTTTTCAATTCAAATGGAATAAAAAATAACATTGATGAACTCAGACAACGATCGTTACAATGGACTTAGACATCGTATTAATAAATGAGACTCACTTAAAACCCACTGACAAATTATACATGAACGACTACAATATACCGGAATGACAGAAACATGACAGGATGAGGTGGTACAGCAATATTTATAAAAGCTTGTATCAGACATGAAGAAATACCGTTATTATCTGTAAAACACTCTGAAATTACTGCTATAAATGTGTTCAATAGAGGACGTAAAATAACTATTGTCTCCATATATGTTCCTTCTGCAAAACTATTGCATGCAGACTTGCATAAAATATTTAACTTAAATCCAAGAGTTATTGTAGCTGGTGATTTTAATGCGCAACACATAATGTGGAATTGTAAATATAATAACACAAACGGACTCAAACTATTTAAGTACTTAAACAAAAACCATGATACCATTCAACTACATTATCCTCAGACTCCAACTAGATTTCCTGCGATACCAAATCAAGACCATAGTACAATAGATTTAGCCCTTACAAAAAATCTATCTATTCTTTCTGAACCTATAACCAAATCTTTATTTAACTCAGATCATAATCCAGTCTTTATAAGTATCTCAAACCCACTTGACGACAATCCTCAATCCTACAAAAATGTTTTAGATTATAATAAAGCCAATTGGCTGCTCTATAAGAAAATAATAAATGATAATATATGTCACATCAGACAAATTGACAACAATGATAGAATAGATCAAGCTGTAGAACACCTAACAACTACTATTACTGATGCCATAAGTAAAACCATTCCATTGCGAAAGTCCACTTCAACACAAACAATTAGTTTACCTTTGGAAATTATATCCAAAATTAAATTAAAAAATCAAATTAAAAAGTTGTGGCAAAAATCAGGTGCCACGTTTCTCAAAGAACATTTAAACAGGCTTACTAGAATAATTACTGAGGACATTAGGGTTTATCGTAATAAAATATGGGCTGATAAACTAACAAATATTAACTATTATCCAAATAAAATTTGGTACACTGCAAAAAGACTGACCCAAACTTTTGCTCCCATACCATATTTACATACAAATTCCAATAACATTGCAACAACGCCCGAACAAAAGACCGAAATTTTAGCATCTAACTTCGAATTAGCACATCAGTACAATCTTTCTATCACTCAAAATGCTTTTGAACAGACTGTTAGTTCCAGTGTAAGACAATATATAAACAATACTTATAACAAAAATCACAAAATAGAGATAGTAACTGTTGCGGAAGTTATAAATATTATTAAGAAACTGTCTAATAAGAAAGTTCCAGGACCAGATGGTATACAGAACTTAGCAATTAAACAGTTACCTATTAAAGCTATTATCCTACTTACACGAATAACAAATAAAATTTTTAAAAATGGATACTTTCCTGTGTCATGGAAATGTTCTAATGTGGTACCAATATTAAGCCAGGAAAACAACCAAATCTACCAA